GTTTGCCGAGCCACCCGTGTAAGGAAGAAGGCCTTCACTGCGGAGTTATTCATTAAAAGATGCCAACTGAACAGTTACAGACTATTGGACAGGGGAGCGAAACTCTCATGTGCATCTTGTTTACACAAACTGATTACCCGTCTTCTCCTTGAACGCAGTCTCTTAAACTTTTCTGGATATTCACTGATTCTTACTCGATTGCAAGCAAATTCTACAGAGCGACTCCACAAAGTCCGTAATAGACCTCAGTTTTCCAGAGACGCAAAACGAATTTACAAGAAGAAAAGATACTACTCGCACGCTCCCATCAGTAGTATCACCGTTAAACTCGTAGTCCACCAGTCGGTAAACAATAGATTTTTACATCCCAATTATTACATGGACCGTATGTTCGTCCACAATACGAGAAAACTGAAAGATTGACAGTGGACTTTGGTTACCAATTCCAACTCAGAAATGCATTTAAAAAACCGTGTGCACATATCATTTGCTCTTAATGGACTTTCCATTGATATCGTTCCTATCCTGTCAATTCTGATTACAGAAGCTCATATCCGGTGAAGTGATTTTATGCTCGCCCTATTTTTTGAAAAATAGTATAGACGTGGATAAATCATCTCTACCAAGTTCACTTTGATGGAGAATGCCAGAACCATATTGATATTGGAATGAACTGAATTCACGCTTGAGAGGGGTCAGATCACAGGATAATAATGACCAGAGTATCCAGAAAAAATTTGAGGAGTTTCCTTTCTTTCGAGAAGTACACTCATTGGCGAATAAATTCAGTTTTCACGAGAGACCCAACTGAAACTCTCTTTTGAAATATTCTTCAACTGAATGTGCTGCACAAAGACCGCCTCATGTTTCAGTTGGCAGGATATTCGAGATATCGCAGTATATTTTCATGAAGGAAACTACTCACAAGGTTGCTCCAAGAAGGGCGAAACCGGCGGTGGGCTGTCGAAGAGTTTTCAGCAACCTTGTGAGTAGTTTCTCTAATGAAAATGTTTCCTACCCAATTTGAAATTTACGTGTTACTTAAGGATGTTTGCTGAAGGACCTAGGTGAGTTCACGGCTACATTGAGAACTGATTACCCGTCTTCTCCTTGAACGCAGTCTCTTAAACTTTTCTGGATATTCACTGATTCTTACTCGATTGCAAGCAAATTCTACAGAGCGACTCCACAAAGTCCGTAATAGACCTCAGTTTTCCAGAGACGCAAAACGAATTTACAAGAAGAAAAGATACTACTCGCACGCTCCCATCAGTAGTATCACCGTTAAACTCGTAGTCCACCAGTCGGTAAACAATAGATTTTTACATCCCAATTATTACATGGACCGTATGTTCGTCCACAATACGAGAAAACTGAAAGATTGACAGTGGACTTTGGTTACCAATTCCAACTCAGAAATGCATTTAAAAAACCATGTGCGTATATCACTTGCTCTTAATGGACTTTCCATTGATATCGTTCCTATCCTGTCAATTCTGATTACAGAAGCTCATATCCGGTGAAGTGATTTTATGCTCGCCCTATTTTTTGAAAAATAGTATAGACGTGGATAAATCATCTCTACCAAGTTCACTTTGATGGAGAATGCCAGAACCATATTGATATTGGAATGAACTGAATTCACGCTTGAGAGGGGTCAGATCACAGGATAATAATGACCAGAGTATCCAGAAAAAATTTGAGGAGTTTCCTTTCTTTCGAGAAGTACACTCATTGGCGAATAAATTCAGTTTTCACGAGAGACCCAACTGAAACTCTCTTTTGAAATATTCTTCAACTGAATGTGCTGCACAAAGACCGCCTCATGTTTCAGTTGGCAGGATATTCGAGATATCGCAGTATATTTTCATGAAGGAAACTACTCACAAGGTTGCTCCAAGAAGGGCGAAACCGGCGGTGGGCTGTCGAAGAGTTTTCAGCAACCTTGTGAGTAGTTTCTCTAATGAAAATGTTTCCTACCCAATTTGAAATTTACGTGTTACTTAAGGATGTTTGCTGAAGGACCTAGGTGAGTTCACGGCTACATTGAGAAACCGTCAACTGTCGAGACTTTCCTGCACCCATCTTTCCCAGCCAGAGTCTGCAAATATTGACGGTTAGACGAATTTAGAATTAGGAATCCTTTTCAACGAAAAACCATGTGGCTAGGTACTCTTCACAAATGTTCTGATTGATTGGAACCACGAAATTTGAGATAAAGCACGATATTGAACTAACCTACATCGATCTTCCGATTCATTGCTGCTACCGGATCCATCTTCTCAAAGTTAATCGATTGGGTTGGTCCCAAGAGATTCGGTCAACCCAATGTCACAAATGAACATCAAAATTTGAGTACCCGACAAAAAGTACGTCGTTGCGAAAAGAAAAGTGCATTTTGGTAATGAGTTGTCAAAACGTACTCGGCGACTTTTTGAACAGTGTTCAATGACGGGCTGTGTAGACTTTTTCCTTCATTTAATTCCTGGCCCTGCGTATTTCAAACCGGACATTAGTAACTTTAAAATAATTTTGTGCAATCTAATTTCCTTGAATGAGTGGAAACTGAGGTTTCCACATCGCTACGAATTATTCTCGATGGGCAGACATCCTGTGTTATCTGGGACAAACTGTTTATCCTCCATCTTGATTTCAACTTGTTGCGGTCTCTGCATGTGGACTCTTCGTATGTGGGCAGCCTTGCGTGAGTACTCTCCTCGACTGTTGGTCTGTTGGCCCAGCCTGGCAGGTGGGTTGCAAGAGCTTCAATACCAGTCAAGTTGACTTCATCACTGCGGAGATGAGTGAGTAAATACCTCCACTTCTGCTTGCTCCTATGCGGTTTCCAAACGGCATCTAATAACTTCGAGGTGACTGATTGATCTCGAAGGGATTTTCGTGTAATTCAGTGCGCCATCTTGGAATACAAGCTGCGCTGTGACCTCTTCCCGTTGTGTCAGGTTGGTTTGTTCTGCGCCCTCATTTTGGTACTTATTTTCCTCCGTTGTGATTGAACCGGTTCTCTCTCGCTTTCTAGTCTGATTTTGTTCTATTTGGTTGGTCGATTCACTGGACTTCTATTTTTAGTAGCTTTCTTTGTTTGACCCACCTGGCCCGATATTTTTTGTTGGTTTCTCATGTGATTCAGAGTCCTGCTACTGTCTGCCTGTTTTAGTCGCAGCGACCAACAAACAGGATCGATGTCGGTGTGTTTATTGATCGATTTTTGTGTGGAGTATCATGTCTCGGCAAATTTCTATCCCCTTTTTGTTCTTGTCCCAGTAAGTACTAGAATGCTATCCCAATTTTACCGATGTAACACTTTGTGTTCATGAGTTGAAACAAGTGGCATTGGATCAAAGTTTTTTGGCTGGTCAGCCTTTGTTTGTGTAGTTTGGTGGCCATTTTTGTCCCCGTCTGACCAACCTATCATTTGTCACAGTCTTTATGCGTACTTCCTTGGCTCTGTTGGCATTGTGGTGGTCTACTTAAAAAGCCCATACTACCGCCAAAAGCAGGCTTGAAACTCACTTGAAGCTGGCGGGTCCTGATTCATCTCCCATGCATGCGTGTCGGTCTTGAAATGACCCATTGATTTTTTTATTAGAATTTCGTTTTTGCAATGTCGATCACGTTCCACATCACTTTCACCGAATCCCTGGTTGACCATTTGTAAGTTTCACCGATGCGCGTCGTAGATATCCGGCACCGATGATTTTTTCGGTCAGGATAGAGGAAAGTGTTTCAAAGCAGACGGAAAACACCGAACTATCAAGGATATCTTACCGGGGGAAACACAGTCTCACAATCATTATTTTCGACTAATTTTTGAACAGAATATTTACGCACTGGTTAAATTGCCGTGCTGATCACGACTGATCACGTTGCTGAGAGACCGATCATGCTCCAACCTCTCAGTGACCAAACTACCAACAAGTGGTCGCGAGTTCGAGGCCCATCAAGACACATGCTGTTGGTGATTGCTCAGAAGGATGAAACAGTTTTTCAGCGCCTCCTCATAGATTGGTCGCAATCACTTAACTTGGTCACTCTATTTGAAGTTAATTTATTTGAGAGTAATTACGCTCTTCGGGAGCAAACGAACCATGTTACAAGTGTAAGTGTTTCCTACTTGTCAGATTACGGCGACCATAATTTCGATCTCGCCAATCGATCACGCGAAAACCAATTGTGCTAAGCAATGCAAATAACTCGCTTCAGAAACGAGGTTTACGTGCACGGTTTTTTCCTTGCTTTACGCACTAAGACCGGTTGCGTGCCTAACCTGTTTCCTCAAATGACGCAAGCAAAACGCAACCCGACCTACACGTCACATTCACTTCGTCTAATCAGCTATCGTCTCTATCAGTTCTTATCTTGACCGGGTTTCCTGTTAGAAAGTTTCGGGTGGGAATTTACTCAACCGTGTCTAGGATTTCTTGACAGTCACACTGGCAGTTGACAACCTACGCAACTGCTGTTTTCCGAATGGAGTTGACCTAAACAAGACTGACAATCTTTGTTAAGCTTCCCGTAAAATTCATTTTGATAATGCGATTACGTTATTAAATTAGACTTATGAGGATGGTATAATAATTAATTATAGTTTCTATTAGGTTATAACTCAACAAACCTGACGTCAGTACAGTCTCTAATGCAGTTTCCTAAAATGTGCCCTGAAGATGAATTCCAAATGGGAGAAGACGTCTATTCAATGCTTTTCAGTATATAATAACCTCTTTCAGGGGAAGAAATCTCTATTCGAACAGACGGCTCAAAACGCCTTCATCTACTACTGGCACATTCCAAGTAGTATAGTGGTTGTAATTTTCAACATGCAAGTTCTTTCCAACTAAAACATTGATCACAAAAACCTGGCCGAGTGAATTTTAATCTGCATTATTTAATTACATGAAACTAATAGTTTCGAACAAATTAAATTGTGTTACATTCAAGAGACTAGTATCGACATAATCCTGAATTTCTGATTGGTCCGTCAGAACTCGACCAAATCAACCAATCAGGACTGCCGGACAATTGTGGATTCCAATGCACACGTATATTTTTCCCATCCGCATTGGGAACGCAAATATGAAATGAAAACTGATCGCTCGTGTATCCCGGAATCCTATCGAGTCGGCTGTCTTAAAGTACTTTATCTCACTTGTGCAACGGTGATTACGACGACATTTATTGTGGAATGCATCCTTGCCCACTTGGTTGTTCAGCCCTACTTGCACGAATCCGCATTCACTCTGACCAATTGTTCCTACGTCCACGCACATATTGTCAATCACGCGGTGAAATGTGAGAACCGGTGCTCCAAGGATCGTTCCAGATTTCCTTGTCTACAAGTTCTTGTGCGCTACACCAGCCGGGGTGCCAATCACACGGTTATTTTGTTTGACAATATTGCGACCTATCATCAGTACAAAGCATTTGGGGTGAGTGGAAAGTAGTTGTAATTTTTTCCAGGTTTTAATCGCCGTCAGTAGAGGAGAAAATTAATATTTTTTGGTTAAATCGGAAATTGTTTCTCATTAAATTTTTCATAGTTGACAGAACGCGATGGTTGACTGTCGCGTACTAAAACAGTGGTATGAATACCAATCATTAAAAGAGGAATGCACGGTCGGATTGAGGTAACCTGGTAAAAGAAACATTCCAAGTTGTGTAACAAACTTGTGAGTAATTACAGAAATATATTGCGATATCTCAATTATCGTACTAATTCAAACTTGAGGCGGCCTGGTCAGCACATTTCCTTAAAGAACATCAGGAAAGGGAGGTTGAACTTTGATTGCTTCCCCCTCAAAACCAGATCAGCGGTTAGGAAAATCTTGATGCATTTTCTCGAGCCGATGAGTAATCACTGGCTAATAAGTCACGTGCTTTTAATGCGGCAGGCCGGGTGGGATGAATTGCGATTCGCGAACGCAGCACGTGAGCACACATACAGTCAAAACTTCGGTTCATGAATGTAAACTAATGTCCTTGTGTTTACGCCCACCGGTGAAGACAAGAGAAAACAAGGAGCTAATGGAAAATGCCGCTAAAAGTGACAACCCATTATCCAGTCCTTCCTTAATGAGAAAACAAGCGTCCAAGGAATGTTTATGAAAACGCATGGTTTTGTTTTGTGAAACATTTTCCCCACTGCATTTGTTAAGTGTAAAGTCGGTTTGCTGAACAACTAACCGTTGGTAGAAGAGCAATGTTTTCTTGTTGCTACGTGCGACCAAGTTGGAGAAATTTAAGCTGATGTGTGGGATGGGCTGAACTCGGTTGTCAGGGTTTGACAACTACAGCCAAACAGCAGTTTGACCGCATTAACTCGTGAAGTTTTGGCTACACACACTATATTGTCAAAGCAGCCACTACATTTGTGAATCTTACGAAGCCCGAGGAAGCGCGAAACCGGTCGTGGGCTGTAGAAGAGATTTCAGCAACCTTGTGAGTAGTTTCCTTTATGAAAATTTACTGCAATATCTCGAATATCGCGATAACTGAAAAATGAAACGGCCTGTGTGCAGCACATTCAGCTGGAAAACATCATAAACGAGAGATTCAGTTGATTCTGTCGTGAAAACCAAATTGATTTGCAAATGAGTGTATCTTTCGAAAGCAAGACTCTCATATGCATGTTGTTCATAAAAATTGAATATCCGTGTTCTTCTTGAACGCGTCCTCCTGAACTTCCTGAGTATTTGTTGATTATCATTCAAGTGTAAACGAATGCTACAATGCGATTCCGCAAATTACATGATAAACCCTACTTTGCAATCGACGCAAAGCGCGGTAAAGTGAAAACATAATACTTGTATGCCCAATCAGTAGTATCCACCATTACACTAGTTGCAAACTGCTCCGAAATGGAGGCCGACCTGAACAACTTGAACCAAGCACATATCTCTAGTCCGTTCAACCTTAAAACCGAAGGTGGCAACGCATTTCTCCCCTCCGGAGTTAAATTAATCCGACAGAATACGAGTTCAATTCAGGTATCTGTTCGCAGGGGCTCCACGTGGATGGGGTAGTATACACACTTCCACAGATTTATGCCACTGTGGCAGAGCGAATATTGATTTACGCTTTAACGGATCGAGCGAGGCTGTGCAGATACACTGGGCTCTGAACTGAAGCACACTGCCAACGTACTCAGAGCTAACGCTTATCCAGAGAGACAAGAGTAGACAAGAGTATTTCTGAACGTTTATCCAGTCATCTCTCACGATCGTTGGAAAAAAGTCAATCCACTTGAGTCTTTTCTATAAAGACGAGCGGCTACAACTCTGGGTTCTTAGTTTATAGCTAAACCTTCGCTCATTTCATATCTGAAAGACGAGATTCTAAGTCGTTCCCTGCAATCTACCGAGTGCCCAGTAGACTTCCATTATCGATCCAACTTCTACGACTGACTATGCTGTCAAAAACTATTCATACAAGCGCTGAGTCTTCTATGGTCATGTGACTCATACCGGTCGAATTGATCGGTCAGCCTCCCACTAGATTGCATCACAATATCCAAATAAATGTGACTTGAACTTCATTGACAATCGATCATCCATGTTTTTGCGTTTTTCAAGTTTACAAACCACATTTAGCTTTTATTTCGTTAAGCACACCTGTTTGAACTAGAAGACACGTACCTGAGGAGATCCCTAAAACGTTCATGTCTGTAATGCTGTTCTTTCCGTAACCATGGCAACATTCATTACCTGGGGATAGTAGGGTGGAAATAAACTCAGTAATTCTTGTGTATTTGGCCGCCATGAGAGCATAGATGCATAGGTGCACGAACCTATGCACCGTCATGGCTAACAGGTAGCCAGTGACATCTTTGTTCAAGACTTGATTGCGCCGGTGCTTTCCGCCAGACAATGCCGCTAGGTCTAGACACTTTAAACAATACAATTAAACTTCAGTTTCCAGCCAATTCGGTCCCTTTTACCATTCGCACACAAAAAACTAATCCCTTCTATACACTGGACTTTTCTGGGGTACCGGAAAAAAGAATTCAAGATTCAAGTACCGTCGTCTAATTAGCTGACGGGCTACCTTCCTCTTGCTCCTAGATTTCGTCCTGTTATTGAAGCTGATCTACGCTGAAAAAAGCCGAGCAGCACTGGACAAATGTATCATTCTTATCAAAGAATCATCAGCACTGCGCATCTGAAGAAACTCCTGGGGGATAGTGGACTTTGTTACCTCCCGGGGAGTCGTCTGAACACTTGATCGTTTGGCTAAGTTTGGCCGGTCAGCAGTGCGAGTAAATCGAACTTAGACGAGATATAGCTCTACTCATCCTTCAGTCACGAGATCCGAATCACGTGGTCAAACTTGCAGACTGGCTCCTCGATTGAAGGCCTTTCATATTTGAGTTTCACTCATCGGTGCATGCCTCCAGTGATCTAAGCCAGAAGCGATAGGCTGTTCATTGATTGTTGCTGTTTTGAATTGTCACGTGACAGTACCATTGCTTGAGTGTATATTCACCGCTGGTGGCCGCCACGAATTTCGTTTGGCAATGCCTGTAAAATTAATCAATGCTTATTAAAAGTGGAGAGGATCTGCAACCAGAATTCGCCCTTTCGAAACATTTGTATGGTATGTGAACACACCGGGCTTGCTTATTTTCTTAGCTTTGTTGACCAAGTAAACGGGGAGCGCCTTGAAACTCATTTCCAACGATCTTGTTCAGTCAGTAGACTTCGAAAAGTTCCATCCTTGAGGGTCACTTTTGGTTGAATTACGATTTACACGTTCAGTGATGACCAGATGTTTGAATCCGCTCAAAAATTTATGTAAAAAACGCAAACTACTATAGCTATGCTCCTTGGAATTGAATATCCCTAATTATTGTCCATTTCTGTAAAGTCTGACTGCACACAATCTGCCAACAGCTCACACCCGGTGTCGCCAGGTTTGCGTCCTTTAGCATGGAAACAGCTAGAAAGTCAGAGTATGGTTCCTCTCAGTACTACTCATATGGTCTCGAGCTCAGTGATTTCCACCAACTAGGCCTTGACTCCTGGTCTCTATGAGTCTCCTACTTCCTGCATGAGCACTTCTCTTCCGTTGTTGTGTCTAGCAGCTTTCAAGCGTCTGTAGCGACACCTGACTTGCAAGTCCTGATTGGCTGCCCGATCGATTCACACATCCTGACGCCTATGGCGTCAGGCGTTCCGCGGACACCTGGTCTAACGGAAAAATTCGGCCGGGACTAGGGTGCGCTCGTGGTCTGGTGGTAACACGCTCGCCTTGCAACTCAGATGTGCGGAGTTCAAACCCCAGAACGGCTGATGAGCTCAAATAAGAACGAAACTCGAGTCCAATGCTTCTTCATTAGGTATAGGACAGAAGAACGGTTGTCCGAACAAAATCCCATATCTAAATTAAGTTCTTGTCGATGGAAAACTCAACTACATGACTCTCCATTTTAAAGGATTTCTCATGCCTCCGTGGGAGTAATAGAATCCTCGCTGTGGGCTGTTTAAATTTTTCATTATTCTTATGAGTAGTATCGGAAGGCCTTTTTTTACATAACATCGGTTACTTGAAATGAAAGTGAAACAAACATATTATTAACAAAAAGGTGGCCATAATTCGCTGGGGTTTGCATATCACAACATACAGTTAGGCTAACTGACTGTCGACAGGTTGAATAAATCAATAAACTGATGGATGAGAAGCAATCAGCTGTTTTTTACAATCAGGCTCTCCTACGTTGTACTAACTGGAAATTAGCGATGTCATAGAAGGTATTCTAGTAAAATATGCGAACTGATGGGAAATTTATACTTTAGTTTATCTTCTAGTGGAAAAATCTTTTTTAACGTTCAAACGAAAGATGAATGCTACTAGACCACCTGATGATTTTGGGTGCGAAAAACAAAAATTTGAATAGCGTTTACTGCAAAAGAACCCAGCAAAATCTCGTTCTATTTATTTGCCATGGAGGAAACTTGCAATTATCACCATGGTAACCGAACAAGCGAAGAACAGTTCTCTATGTGAAAGTCGAGTGAACTGAACTGTTCATATATTTGAACAGTCTTCTTCGTGTACTGACGTAATTGTTTCAGCGTGTCCTAACCTAAAGTGGGGAAGCACTCGACTCTACTTTCGAGCTGATTAGACCTCATCAGCAGTGCATATTCTTCGACAATAATCAATGGATATATAATCAAGGGTGAAAAACGCGACTCGCAAGTTTTCGATGGTTTGATCGATTGCTGTTGGATTTGTGATCCGACTAGTTCTCCGATACTTTGAGGCACTTGAAGAATGAGCGCATTCGACTGTCAGAGATTACCCAGAAATGCTGTAGGCTTATTGGAATTTTCCAAAAACGACAGTATTCTTGTTTATTTTGTCACGATTTTGGCTACGATGCACCGTAAAACTAAAAAAAAGTCATACCTTCTGGAATGATTTCACTTGG